TTTGTGTATAATCGTATATTAAGCATTATTTTTTTTTCTGGTCATTTGAAATTTTAAATTTATATTAAAAGCAACAAAAGTTTCTCATTTGAGGTCTGCATAACATAGACCTCAGTCCTACTGACGTATGTAAGTAGAATTTAGTGACTTTCTAAACAAATGGAATCATTGCCCTATATTTTGTTATATTTTGCTGGAGTTGAAATATATTAATTAGTTGTTAATGCTTTGTGTCTATAATTAACAGTTTTTTTTTCTTTCCGATCCATAATCCATCTGTTGCAATGAAAAACTCTAATATTATTTTTAAATATCAAAATAATATCAAACATAATTTCTGTTTCATATTAAGTTTTTAATACAAATATGTTTATAGAAGTGTTATATATAAGTTCCAGAGATAGTCTGGATCGCTGATAAAAATACATATGCTTAATTATGTCAATATAATCATCAATCGTATTAGCAATCGTAAAACCTTTGAATACAATGAATTAATTAGTTTCTCTGATTATATATTAATATATTTTATGAAAGCCGAAAAATATCTCTGGTATAAAATATCTATTTGTTATAAACATTCGATTTTTTCCAAAACAAACGTTTTTTCCTGCTTTATAAAAAAAACTTAATCTCTTAATTACAAGTGTTTTTTAAATTTAATTTAAAATTTAAAAAATATTAAAGTCTTCAATTCGTTAAATAAATTTAAGAAAATATTAAATTTCCACTTCTTTCACTTACTTGCCATAGTCATTGTGAATGTTTAAATATTGTTGCTACTGAAATTATTTTAAATGAGTATTTATTTAAGTCAAAAAGCGCATTAAATGTTGCTGAAATAGTTTAGGGCACATTAATAAGACAAACAAACATTTCAAGATACTTTAATATTGTACGCCCTTCCGTTTCTGCGATGTCAACAATTTATCGGCTGTGCGTCTTTTCACTACAACCGCGCAACCGACTACAACGGTTTGAATGGGATGACAGTGATGATGGTGCATGATTATGACTATATTGCGATTGTCTCTGATACTAACACAAATTGTGGAACATTGAAACGAGAACGGAAATGTTTTGTTTGATACAAAAATGTGAAATGGGTGCGTTCCAGAAGCCATACCCATTAACGCGTTCAATTTGATAAGAATAAATGACGAATACGGAGGAGAAGAACAAAACTTACGACGACTTAATTGAAAATAACAATACAGAACGTTGGTATAGTAATATTAACGTTGGCTTATAGTTCGTGTATTCCTTCATGTCTATTTAATGCACAAATTCTGGGTAAATACCCTTTCGAAGAAACTATCTGAAGAATGTACGGACAACCGGGCGAAATGCGAATAATTATGCGAAATATGCTAAATCATTTTTAGTATTTCAGTAATTAAAATCGTATTCATCGTAACTTTTCATGCATATAAGGTTTGAGTTCTAGTTTAATGTGCACTAAATTTGATTTTTGTCTACATAATAACCCAACAAAGAAAAATCCAAAACTTTTTGCAAAATTTTTACAAGAGAATAATTTATCAATAAAGAATGCACGTTACGTGAAGATCAATTACTACCACGTATAATGGAATATTGCGACCTCAACTCTGTCTTTTGTTTCTGCTTTTCTTAAACTTTTCTTAAACTAATCTAGTTTCGAATGGTCATCAATAGATTTGTGTTATTGATGAATTTTCTCTATAAATTTTGAAATTGCTTATTCTAATAAAATCTCTAATAATTAATATTACTTTTAAAGTAATATTTAATTCTTATTAAATATCAACAAAAATAAATAATATTTAGTATTTAAGAAGAAATAGATTTTATTTAGATTTTCAAATATTTTTTTTTTCTATATAAAAGTGTATAAAATAAATACCTTTATTATAGGTTAGGTTATACTGGCGATCCAAATAGATTCCCTTAGACTTAGTGGCCCATTGTACTATCTTATAATGGAAAAACTCAAGATTTAAAATCACCTGGAATCTTTGGTTAAACTTAAAATGCTATTTAGTTGGAGATCTAAAGTAGTGAGTCGCATCCGTGCATGAGCTGAGCAAAAACAAAGCAGATGAGAGGCATTTACTTTTATTATATGAACTTACAATTTCCTACTGGGTATTTTGAGTTTTTGATGATACTTCATATATTTTTAGTAAAATTTTGATAAAATTGTATTTCAACAATATTAAAATTTTATTTGTTCATATTTTGCTTCTTTAAATTCAGAAATATGTCTAATATTTCATAAGCCTCTTAATGAAATCCAAACAATGACAATGATTATTTATTTATTTATTAAGTTCAATATGAACTTTAGTCGAAACATTTTTATTAAAAATTCATTTATAAGTTTATAGAAATTTAAGTTAATAAAAATACGTTCTTAAATCAATTTCAAATATAAAAATAAATAAAAAAAATAATTTTTTAAAAATCAATTCTATTTATGATGAAACTATAGTAATATAAAATAATAAATTTATAAATTAAAGTTAATAATAAATTTCTTTTAAATGCATAAATAAATAATAGAATATACATATAAAATACGATATATTCGATATATTGTATAATCTATACTATAGTATATATAGCACCTATTTATATAATAAATAATAAACAATGTGTTATATATACTGTTAATAATATTGTCATAATAATGTGTGACAAATAATAAATATATAAAATATTAAATTTGTGTATATAGGTATATATATAAATATGACATAAAATATTCTTTTATAAAATATAATATACACTATTATTTGTGCAGGCATGCCCCAACTTTGAAAGGTTATTCATTAGTCTATTTGTATGGTTGAAATGAAAGACAATTTAAATTCAATATTTACAGAGAGTTACGTTCCTCTCGAAAAATGGATGATGAAAATATCATCCACATTGTTATTTTTTTTTCTTTTCTAATACCCTTCTGTTTGTAATATTTAATTATCTGTTCTAAATTTTTATTCCTAAATCTTTTTTTTTTATTTTTTAATTTAATTTAATATTAATTTAATTTTTTTTTAATTTAATTTAATTTAATTTAATTTTTTAATTAAATTTTTTTTTTGGTTTAATATTTTTTTTTGCTTTATTAATAAATAATTTGTAAATAGTTATTAATTGTGTACATATTATTTATGTCTGTTTTAAGTTAGTTTTAAGTTAGTTCTAAGATGATGCAACAAAAGGATTTTTTATCCTTAAAGCATTTTTCAAAATAAGTAAAATAAATAAAAAAAAAAATAAATCTCCAAGAAACTTGGTTCAAGTTATTTAAATTATTAATGCACTTATTTTTAGTCCATAAAATATCATGTAATTTAATATCTATATTATTTTTCTACTCTAATAAATCCAAAAGTTGAAGTTAATCAAATTTGGTTGTTGATTAACAATTTTTATCATTATAGAAAAATTATATTTTTTTTAAATTTTTTAAATTTTGTTCACTAATTTTTTTTGCATATTAAAATCTAATTATCTTGCCAGCACATTTTAGAGACAAATTTTTTTTCTATAACTTATTATTTTTTTTTGTAATTGTCTTTTTCTTCCATTCTAAAACTATTTTCATCAAAAATTACGCACATTTACTTATGAGCACTCATACGCACTGAGGACTTTGTGTATATGAAATAGAGCAGTAGTAGGTTGCTTTAAAAGCCGATAATAGAAAAATAGTAATTTGATAGAAGAATAGATAGAAGAAATGAAATGATAGATGATAGAAGAAATGATAGAAGAAAAATTTCTTCTAGACATTAAAAATGGATCCATAATCTACTGTTTTTTTTTCTTTTCTCGAACCAAGTAATTTTCCCCCAAAGTTAAAGCATGTTGCTTGCGTACACTTTGTACACTGCATTATATATCATTTATCATATTATAAATACAGTATAAAATATATCATGTATTTTATTATAATATAATATGTATATGTAATATATACATATTTTTATAAATATTACACTTTGAAGGGGTTATATGTTTCCTATATAATATTTATAACAACTATATAATCCTATTAGTTGTTTTTGTTAAGAACTAAATCAAAACGATTGAAGTTATTTAACTAATCACTGAAGCATTTTTAATTATTATTAAATTAATTAATAATTAATATTAAATTATTTAATTTAAATATAAAGTAATTTTTAAATAATAATATGCATTGAAAACTTTTTAATCGAAACTCATTCAATTTAAAAAAAAATTAACAAAAAGTAAGTACTTAACGTAGTACTTAACCAAATTCAATTTTAATTTGTGTTTCTCTTGCAATGTTAATTAAAAAGTTAAAATATCTGAAAATAAATAAATTCTGCACAATTACACGCGTTGGCAAAAGTGCTGACCAAATTTTGGCTAAGAGTGCTGAAGTTGAAATTCAGAAAATTACTGAATATTATGTAGTTTTGTAAGTGATGTTGAAGTGCAGGTTAATACCTCCCCATTTTTGGTTTCTGTGGCTTACTGACAAATTAAGTTCTCTTTAGTTACACTGAAGAATAGCCCACAAACAACTTCGTGAACAATTCAGTAATTTAATAGTGGTTCCATGACACTTCCATAGTACTATCTTGGTGCCAAGTTCATACTTTCAAACTAAAAAGTGCAGTTCAACATAAGTTAGACATAAAGCAAGTTTCCATTCAAATTTGTATCCATCGGAACTATTGTAACTAGTCTAAAAGTAGGTGGTCATAGTATGTTCATGTTAAATGAGCTCAGATAAAAAAAATTATTAAAAGAAAATTATTATTATTATTCATTAAGACAATTAATTATTATATAGAATAAATATAGAATATAGAATAAAAATTACATATTTCTTTGAAAAAATCATGATTCCTGAAGTTTGACAATAAACAAATTAGTAGATTTGTGTATTAATTGCATAGGTTACTAGTTAATAGGTATACCTAAACTTCATGAATTATAGCATGAATAGCCTCCATTTTTTTGAGGAAGATAATGAGCATGGTTATATCACTGATTTTATTTTTTAGATATAGCGGGCACAAGTATATATTTGTGTCCATAAAGTTTTTATAATTATAATTCAAATGGCGTATTATCCATATTAAACTAACTTTGGATCAATAGATATAGGTATGGAAACATTTTTCCAGATACGAGTATGGTTTAATATTTCAAAAAAAAAATCATCTTCATCAAAGAATTAACATATGTCTAAAATTTTCTATAGGCTTTTCCGAGTCTTAAAAGAAGACTTTACAAGGATATATCTAATATCTTATTTACTTGTATCTCGTTAAAGATTTACATGTCCTCCATATAGCAGAATTTGTTAAGTGAAAAAAAATTTTTTCAAAATTTCCAATGTATTTTAATATCTTTATTAAAATATATTATTGTTATTATTATTATAAATTATTTTATAAATTTCAATATTTTTGTGAACGCATTTACATGTTAGTTTAATTTAATAAACAAAACTTTTTAATAAAAAATACAGTTTAATAAAATAATTTTCTATTAAAAGCACAAAAATCGATATTCATTTGATAATCCCGTACTTGATTAATTAAAACCAATTCATATATAATTATTGTACCAGCCATCTAAAAAATTATTAAAAAAAATATATATATAAATACTATTTATCTGTGTAAATATATAAAATAAAATGAACTTACGGCAAAAATAAGTCGTCGTGTTAGAAAAAATAATCCTTTTCCACTTATGGCAATTAAATCAGAGACTACAACTTCATTCAATCGGGTAAGCTGCCAAAAAAGAGTTCGTATTAGTTTCAGTTTATTGATTGCATTTTAACGGTTCCAGTACTGAACTGGCAGAGAAGATAAGTAAAGTAAATTGAGTTTGGATGCCAACTACCTACCTCCGAACACCAATAGGCTGTGGGTATCTCATATAGGGCCACTGTAATTTTGTCAGCCGCATCAGGTATAGAAGCAGCGGCAAACATCATTGCCAGGATACGAATGAGCACATAAACTATTGAAAGCCAAAAATAAATTTCGGTCATAAAGTTACCTTTGTCACTGTCCATAGAGTAGCAGAAAAATTAAAAAAAAAAAATAGTTATAATATATATGCAGTTGGATAAATGCCATACAAAATTGTATTCTGTAATTTTGAAGCAGTTTTTGTAGATTTTTTTATAAAACCAAAAAATACTTACTGAAAACTATGAAATATTTGCACACATATGAAGTATAAATTGTGTGCACAGGCTAAAAGCACTAAATTCGACAATTTTTCATCGTATAGCCAGAGCACATCGGTTAAACTCAAAAAGTCCCGTCTCATTTCTTGCCAAAACCCACGTGGCATGGGCTGTAAATAAATAAAAAAAATTCTTGTGGTATTTTAAGAGACCTTGCAGTCGAGCATGTCTGTGACAATTTTATAATAAAATTTGCACCTCGTTTATGTGACGTTCAATTCTCCAATGAAATTGATTAAAGCGCATCGCAAGGCTTCCACATACCAGGGTGAGAAAAATGTCTATGAAATTCCATGTAAATGTCATTGCAAACGTTATCCACTTATGACGTCACATTCAGTAGAGGAATGCATTTAAATAGAAACGTGTTTAAATGATTGCAATGTAGTATAAATTTAAACAATTTTTTTTATTTAGAAAGCACTTAATAGGATAAAATATTTGGAAGAGATTTGTTAAGTGCATTGAATATAATAGATATATATTTTAGAGCACAATTTCTTAACCGGAAGTCTATATCACTAGCCACGTCGTCAAATGTTGCATTTTTGCTTTAAACGATATCATTTTTAGAAAGATATTGATAAATTGAACCATTCATAATACATTAAATACTATAGCTGTGAGAGAGAATCGGCATTTTGAAAAATATAATATAAGCTGTACTAAAAGACCAAGGCTGACTCTTAAACACTAAGACAGTCAAAATAACTCATTTAGTCAATAATAGAATTGACAAGTTAATTATATTATGAGATGTTGGAACAGCGCTCCGTCCAGCAAGTGGACCCACTGAAGCGAAAGATTAGCCGAAGTAGACCACGAAACGACTTGGGTCCTTTTTCGTCCTTCGATTCTCGAATGTCGTTATTGAGTTAAAGCTAGAGAGGTTTCCATTAGCATAGCTGCATCTCTTGTTATTGCAAGCAGTTCATTTGGCTAGAGATTGACTGCCAAGTCATCACCAACCCAATGGTGTCCCAAGACAGTCATCCTCCTGCTTGCCAGTGCTGGACATTTGTATAATATATTATTGACAATTTCCTCAGTCTAAAAAATTTGAACTCAGATAAATCAGTGGTTTCTTTACCTGTCATGCTACTGTTGACTATTATATTGACAGTAGATGCAGCTTAAGGACACCAACAAAGTTTGTGAAATGCAGAGTGAAACTTGTAGATCTTAGATCTAATTCGATTCACTGAAATTAAAATGAATGTATTGGACTCATTTATTTAGAGTCACAGGGCACGAGCATATTCTATCGTATTTATGACTGACAAGAAACGAGTTTAGTACATTCATTTGAACATTATTAAATTAAATAAGATCTAGAACCTACAATCAAGACACATTATTAGGTTCGCCAACAGCATTAATTTGTCTATATTAACTTAGGATAATTTTTTTAGCTATTAATAGCACAATAGGTCTTCAGACTCGCAGAGTACCATTGTTCCTTTTAAAAATAATAATAAATATTTATATTTTTTTTTCTATAATAATAATAATAGCAATAGTAAATAACAATAAGTCCATTCAAACTTTCATAACTTGAACTTCTATAAATCGAATTTTCTATAACTCAAACTATATAGAGTGTAATAGGGTTTAGAGAGCAAATAATATACAATAACAAAATAAAATTCTTTAAACGAAAGTCTCCTTAAGCCAAAGCTTTGCTTTGAATGAAACTTCGAGTTATGGAAGTTTGACTGTAGTTATATATGTTTAATGGAGAAGATAATATATAAAGACCATAAACTTATTTAACACATCTTACCTCTATTAATGGTATTAGCCACGGCTTATATGCTATCAATAAGAATATTTGTGAACTCTCCCGTATGAAATAATTTTCTAAAAAATTGACTGTAAAATTGCATTCCTGAATTTGCAAATAATTCGTGTACGCAGCATTGCTTATGTATAGCATATGTTCAACTACACAAACACAGATACAAATATTTTTAGATACATTAAGAAATGTTTAAGATATAAATCAGCTCTTATAAAATACACGTCTGATCCACATAAGCTTACCCACAGCGCCACAAAATAAGATAGCACCATATGCTCTGATGTTGTAAGAAAATCGCTTCGATGCGAGACTTTCATAACATTTCCGCAGAAAAATCACTTCACAGCGACGTGTTTGCTTTATCAAATTTGGCCAATTTCGTGCGAGTAGAAAGAAGCAAACGTAGCCACATAAGCAAATAACGCTAAAGCTCAGAGGACCTGAATTAGGACAAACGTTAAAGTACAGTTATTAAGATACTTACGTTTAAATCACGCGCTGTTTAAATAATATTTTCTTACCTACAGTATATATTCGAAACCCGCTACCGACAACCAATTTTGCTGATAACACAAAATCAATAAATGCAAAACCCATCAATACAAACGATATGAAGACAACAACGGAACACCAAGAAAAGTGTACGTGCGCAACATCATTGGAGGACCAGAGACCGGAAGCAGGCATAACACCGAATAACCGTGAAAGCAAAAAAACTATTTAAAATGCAAGACAGATAAAGAATTATTATTTATTTTTTTTTGTTTTTTTTTTTTTGGTTAAGTACAAGAAGCTTTCTTACATGGACGCATTGCATGATGCAGCGTATTCTCAAGACTTCCGCTATGGAGCTTCTCTGTATTCATGTCTGCTCCAAATTGTTCAACTGTCAAACCCACCACTCAGTGCGCGTTGCATGTGTGAATATCTCTCGCCTGGCAGTGAATGACATTGCAGAAATAATTGCTAATATTTGTACTCATGCAAACACTTTATATGATTGATGTTGATTGCAACAGTACATGTGAATTTACATGTTCAGCTGGAATTATTTATGAGATACTATCTTCAAGTATCTTAAATGTAGTTTGACAAGCGAAACTATGAGCTTGAGCATGTTTTCATTTCAAATTTCAAACAATTTTGATTACTCCTTATATTTATAAATACTTACAAATACAAATAATGTTCTTTCATCATTACCAAATCTTAATTATAATTTCTAAAAATTCTAATACCAATCAATTAATTACTTCCGTACTAATAACGATTCTTAAACTAATCCATGAAAATTATATTCTTCGGAAAATTATTATTTTCTAATAATTATTAAAAAAATTATTTAATATTATTTTTTAATCACTTAAAAATGTTCATTTTTTTTATTTTTCAGTAGAGGGATTTTGCATTATAATTAAGAGATCAATCGTCATTACATTAAATGTAATTTGTAAAAATTCTAATACCAATCAATTAAATATTTCCGTACTAATAATGATTCTTAAACTAATCCATGAAAATTATATTCTTTAGAAAATTCTGATACAAAGCTATTAATAACTTCCGTACTAATCATCATCATCATCCATAGCTATACTATCTATACTTATTTTACGACATTCCTCCATTCTTCTCTATTTTTGGCTTTTATCTTTCAGTTGATGACATTCTTATCGCTTAGATCTTGCCGAATATTGTCACTCCATCTCATTCTCGGTACTAATAGCTATAGTATGTATGCTTATTTTACGACATTCATCCATTCTTCTCTATTTTTGGCTTTTATCTTTCAGTTGAAGACATTCATATCTCTTAGATCTTATCGAATATTTTCACTTCATCTCTTTCTCGGTCTTGCTTTTTTCTTAGTTGCTCTAACTTCACTAACGAAGATTCTGGTTACTGTTCTTTGTTCCGATATCAGCACAAGGTGTCCTATCTACTTCAAGCATTGCTTTTTCATGAGCTTTCGATGTGACATAATAATCAAGCACTGATAAGGACTCTCAAACTAATCCAAGTAAATTTTATTCAAGGCCTTGATACTATAAGCCTTTTAACGGGTATAACATATACCTATATATGAATCTTTATCTTTTTAAACTTACTATTAAAATTTAAAATTGAAGCCAATGATGTTACGTAGAATAAAATTATGTACTACTGGTTTATCTATTGGACCGTTTTTTGGGCAACATCTTTTTTTTATTAAAAAATTTATTTTATTGAAATTTTTATTGATCATTTATATTTATAACCTCTGACCATTTTTTAGATTACTTCATAATTTCATTGGTGTAAAACTTCTGTAGATTATCGATGAAAAATTTTACAAAGCCGCTCCTCGAACAGCCAATTTTTAACCATTAAGAGAGTTTTGCCTTGGCAAAAACAAATAGCAGTCGGGCGATGCAAGATTTGGGTGGATGCATCAAACCTTTACAAACAGTTCCGTCAGTTTATTAAGAGTCATCACAGATTTGTGTTGTCTAGCCTTGTCATGATAAACTTCTAATCCTTTTCTGTTGTACAATTTTGATCGGTTTTCCTTGATTATTTCGTTCAAGTCTTCGACTTGTGAGCAA